CATGACAAACTTACCCTGACCTTATACCCAACAGACGTACACAAACTTTATACATGACGAACTTACCTCAACCTTGTACTGTACCTAAAAAGCTTACCCTAACCTTATATTGTTCCTAACATACTTGGCGTAATCATATACGGTACCCAACAAACTTACCCTACTCTTACACCCAACGAACTGATACCTCACCCTACGCTTACATCTATCAAACTCCACCTACTCTTGAACTTAAAAAAGTTATCCTAACCTTATACTGTACTCAACAAACTTACACTTGACAAAACGCAATGACAAAACGAACCAAACTTATTCTAGACGACCTTTTCAAGTCCAACCCAATGAATAAATCATAACTCGACTAGCCTAAGAGTAGGTTTACACTATTAATTCAAGGTAAAACTTGAAAAAAAAATTATCAATTATCTCACAGAACAAATCTGACACCCAACCATCATCTTTTGAAGCCCAAACCTAAATATCCTCATCGAAAACTCGATCAGCACAACCTAGCAAATCAAATTATTCACACGTATCTCAGCCAATCAAAATAACCTGATTCTAACTAAGTCGGCCATTCTCATCCGAAATAACTCAACATTCCTATCCAAATCTAGATGTGGATCAACAGACGGACACATGATTGATGAAGCACTCGCAAGGCAGCTTCAATAAGGTACAACTGGGGATTAATTATTTGTTCCAACGCAATCTCCTGCACTCGCAGGGAAAATGTCACCATGAGAAACCGCGAAATACGCACTTGAGATCCTGCGAAGTCAGTACTTCGTGGAAGTACATGACTTTGGCTTTGTGATGCGTGATCGTAATGGAATCAATCAGCTCCGTGACGTTCTTGGCAAATGAGCTCGCCTGAGAGTCCACACACTTCCATTGCAAGACGTAAGTGCCTTTGTGTTCCGTGGCGTGCGAACCCTGGATGCTCTCGCCGTCGTGGCAAGTGATGGCATCTTCCACCAAGAAGTAGTCGGTGCCTTCCTTCCAGCCTTTCTCAAATACCGTGCGATGGTCGCTGTCCGATGCCAGAGGGTTGATGCTATGCACCGCTTTGCCTGGAAAAGCCAATCAAACGTAGGGAATTAAGCCTAAACACTTTGAAACGAACGCGACAAAACGTACTCTTCCTGCCAGGCAATAGTGTTTACTCATTTACTCAAATGTATTTACGCCATTCGTTAAAATAAGCATCTCTGTTTTTGGTACCGTATCTAAAAAATCGACTCGATACGGTAATATCCTAATTGACCCACAAACTAGAATAAAAATAACAGGGCAGATCAAATTTAGGAAACTTCAAAATGACATTGTTAAATTGTATTTGTGGAACGTTCGAAACCGTATATGCGTTAAAGATTCTCCAGCGACCACTCGGGAAGTTTTCGGAGAGAAATCGATACTCCCGTTAAAATTTACCAAGAGATTCGTGGAGTTCTATATTTTCAATGCATTTGAGGAAAAACTATGAAACCTACGCCTGAATGTTTCAAACGAGGATTGGTTCATGAGTTTGGCTGCTGACTGACCGCTAACTGTGTGATCTGTGTCCTAGAACGTGAACAACCATTTAATGCTATCCGGTAATTCAATCATCTGTGAGATCTTCTTCAACGATGATAGGGGGCGGGGGTGATGTTTAATCCCTTTAATTTTTCAAATGCAATATGTTCCTGGGGAGAAGATATTAAAAAAAATTAAATGAAGTATTCACAACTGAGGAAATCGCTTGAAAATCACCATCAACTTAGGTACGAAAACCTTTGCAATTCAAGTACGGAAATTTAAGCAACTTCTTGCTTCAACTTGGAAGTTGCATTCAAATCATCCCTGGGCGGAAATACGGCATGGTTTACGAACTCACACGCAGTTAAAATACTGTGCTTTAAAATATTTTACAAAATTTTGAAATCGCCTGAGACGAAGTTTCAGACCTGACAACCAGGTACCATGAAAAAAGGGCTCCAATCTTGGAAATTTTCGGTCAAAACGTCAATCGGGAATGAATAAGTTTCCCCAATNGAATCATCCATCAGAAACTTGCCTACCCCAAAAACTTAGTTTCAAGGTATTTACAGTCCAGTCCTGACAAAACTTTCGAACCATTCCCGCTCAATTCTCTAATTTCGCAGAACATACTCGGTTCATTTTTCGGCGGCAACGGGAGTCGAGTCCGAAGCACCGAAAAGATAACCGCTTGCTTCATGACGTCGAAGTCCCAGCAAATGACGCTGCCGACGTCTTCGTTGTTGATGACGACTTCGTGGACTTGGCCTCGGGCAATTGACACACTGTGATAGATCGAATCTTCGCAGAGAGGAAAATGCTCTCTATCTTTCTCCATCTCTTCCTCGCTCATGTACAAGGCCTTCGGGACAAGGGCTCCATCCACAACCCGCGTCTGGAAACAACGAAATCAAGTTCGTTAATTAAAAACGCACATATCCCGAAGCAGTTTCTTGATGGAAGTTGATCAGTACGAACAAATATGATATTATCTAGATGAAAGAAAAACGAACATCGATCCGGGCCAAGAGTAAATCGAAGAGCACATAAAAATCCAAGTCACTCGGGTTTTCAAATAAAAACATGAATTTTACTTCACGAATCGAATATATCAGTATGTTGAATGTAGGCCTTTTCTACATTAAAAAAAATGTATTCAAGGAATGGAAAAATGCACCTCAAGCGTGTTAAGCGTATTTCCATTTGTAAATGCAACATTTTGCATAATTATATTACAGTACATCAAACATAAATTTCGAACTAATTATTGGGCAGAAGCTTTCCCAAAAATAAAATAAAACGTTACCTCACGCTTGGATCAAAGTGAAAATTACACTGAAATACTGCACTTATCGAACTAATTAGCTTCGATTTTTTCCAATTTAACGCCTGACATTACCTTTCAAGGCGTTAGATAGGTTCAGAACGGCATACTTCTTTCCGCGAAAAACTCATCAAACCTGAGCAAACAATCTAACGTCAATTAACTCGAGTCGAACAGATAATCCAACGTATAATCTGACCAAAACACAGCAAATGATGTGGCGGCGTAACCCGAAAAGCATTAATCAACATAATCTAATCATCAATTTTACAAAATAATTCCTATCCCCAACATAGCCTCATGGCTTAACCTGAAAGAACATAACCTAGCATTTACCGTATCAAAATGAAATAAATCTTATCCCATAACTTGACCCTGGTCAATGTAACATAGCCACAACCGACAGAACCTAACTCTGAACTACTGCATCACTAGATTTACCTTACATTCAACGCATAATTGATCAAGCAATTTTTGTTACGACAATAAGGCGCAACCAAATTCGATTGACACAAAAATAACCGCAAAAATATAACCATAAAGATTTGCGTGTGGCATTCAATTAAAAAAATTCGAATTTCGTCGAATTCCGAAAAGATCACCTTTGCAGTGCCACCGAGAAAGTCCGGGATGGAACGCGGCTCGATGTATTCGGAAAGACCTCCAGGGCCTTGGTAGTCGTTGCCCGAGTAGAAGATGAATTTGCACCGAGTATTGTCATTGATGAATGTGCCCACAAGAGTCCAGAGGATCG